TAATAAACGTTACTAATTTCTTCTATAAACTTCACTTTTTAAACCTAGTTATTCATAATAATAGAATATCATCACCATGAGATAAAATGATAAACAGCTCTGCCTTACTGTGGAAGCATTCTAGTATCCTGAGGTCAAAGCCCTCCGATTAGTATAGTGTTAATTACATTAACTTATCTTAGTCAACTAACATTAATTCATATAGAATTCATCTGCGACCTCAATAATTCACACGAATTAGTCGAATATTTTTCCCAGCTCAGCGGAAAAATTCGAACTGTATAGACTAACTGGAAGCAGCGAATTACAAATTCAAATAATACCAGTATTCATCCTTCATTCACTGCTGCTTCTTCAGCTGAAAAATCAATAAGGATTAGCTGTAGACCATATCGGTGGCTATAACAGACATACACACATCAGCGGTCGGTGTCTGCCCGCAAGTCTGCCGGGTCGCGGCCATTTTGGTAATGGGCATTGTTGCCAGGTTGTCATAGTACATATTACGCATACCTTGATAATTGCATGGGTAAGATATTATGCCAAAATGGATCTTACAATCATATGCCTGTATTTTCGCAGTTTTTGATAGAGACAGAAATATTTATGAAACGTAAGAAGGTTACTATATTTTACATTATTTTTCCAGCCATTTAATACCTAGACATTTTTGTTACGATGTCAAGCAGAAAATACAAATCAGCACCTAGATGTGAGGCACTGCGAAAATGTTTTGTGTTTGATGCCCATTCCTAATTTTTCTCAAAGGCTTGAAAACGCAAAAAAATGCGAGCTCATGCCCAAGCACAAGTTTCTGCGAATCTTTTTTGGGCTCATTCGTTTATTGTATAATATTGTCTTTCATCTACTACTGCTATACTTTTTCTTTTTGCAATAAACTTTATTATTATTGCCTAATATTGGCGCAAGTCTAGCTCAAAGCTACTCACTGAACGAAAATAAGACAAAAAAAAAATAATAATAGTAATAAGTCTTTAACAATAATACAGAATAATCATAACAATAATCACGTGTTAACACTAAATGGACTCAAAGTAAATTAAAATTTCAAAAAGATATTAATTAATACTGGTCACTATAAAATTTGGTTACTGGTTACTATAAAATTTGCTTGACATATTTTTTCTACTTATATACCTATATTATAAACTTCAATCTCTATTCTAAAAAAGTTATTTCAGATTTGTATTTAGCAAATATTTGTATTTTGAAACTTGAAAAAGAAAGAGTAAGGAACTGGTTGGGAATTGAATTGAATTGTTTAACAGCATAGTATGAGAATGATCGTTGAAACAATGCACTACTATGAAGCGGCATAGTTAATTTTTTTTTTAAATATCTTACATTTATATCGTGAACAGAATGTCAGAAAATTAAGCGTTTTCTTATAGAATTAGGTGAACCTTGAGTGTTTATAATTTTTAATAAAAAACTAGAAAAATGGAGAGTGCGACGCTCATTCCTTTTAAGCCATTTAATTTCTTTATACAAATGAGATATATGATCAAACATGCGCGGACCATAGATAAACCTGAGGCACCTTCTGAATCCGACCTCTGCTTGCCTGATCTAAGCAAAACCCATAGACAAAATCGCAATATTTGAAATTGGAAAGAATTAGGGATTGACAAAATTTTTTTTTAGTGATCTGTTTAGTATGTGTCTGTTATTGTACAAAACTTTTAGAGAACAAAATGATTTTTGCATAAGATTTTTTAGGTGATCTTGAAATCTAAGCTGAGAATCTAAAATTATACCGAGATTTTTTGTATTATCAACAAAATTCAATTTTGAATTATTAGCCATTTGTTGAGATTAGCTATCAAAGACTCAGTCTTAGATTTGTTACCAAAAATCATTACATGCGATTTTTCCGGATTAAGTTTCGAGTTGTGACCTAATGAGAGATTGTTCAAGGTGTTAATGTCCTCATTTATACAGTTTTCGTAATATTTGTAATCCTCAATATCAAAAAAACAATAAACCTGGGTGTCATCCGCGAAGGCCTGAAATTTACAAAACTTTTGAAGTCGTAAGGATATCAGATGTATAAATTAAAAATAACAAGGGAACCAATATTGATCCCTGAGGAACTCCCGATGGGATCTCCGCTTTGTCTGAGAATGTGTCATTTGATAGTATCGATTGATACCTTCCTGTCAAATATGATTTTTAAAGCAAACATGCTTCCTTATTAAAGCCATAGTACTGAAGTTTAGCTACCAACAATTCATGGCTAATGGTATCAAAAGCCTTTGAAAAGTCTAGAAGTACCAAAACTGAACTCATCTTTTTATCATTTGCTCTTAATATGTCATCGAGTACATTTTTTAGAGCCACCGATGTACCAAAATTTTTACGAAAACCACACTGAGTACCAGGAATAATATTGTTACTCATAAAAAAGTCATAAATTTGTTCGTACAGCACTCTTTCAAATATCTTTGGCAAAGCAGGAAGTATATTTATCACACGAAGTTCGTTCAAACTTGATGGATTAGTTATTTTTGGTAATGGTTTTCCGGAGATTTTCCACTTGTCGGGAAAGTGGCTCGTTTCAATGTACCTAACAGTTTATAATATGTGTTATATACTTATCTACGAGCCCCTTCCCACTTCAGTTGGCCCACTTCAAGATTTGTACCAAAATATGCCTTTATAAACTAAACATGACAAAACTATTTACTTCTAAAACAATTTATTTTCTCAAAAACATTTTAGATACACTCTAGTCGTAAAAAATACATATTTGAAATCACTTAGACCTATAACTAATAGAACATCTGAACAAATAAACAATCTGCGAATAAACTTGCGAAGTTAACAAAGCAACAATTGAAAGATTACCATTGGGTAACATCACCTTTATTTTTTATTACGGCTGAAATTCTTTGGGGCATAGTGTTAACAAAGTTTTGGCAAAAATTTGGTGTAAATCAATCTTATATTTCTTGAAGCTTTTGTCTCAGTTTGGTGACTGTACGAGCAGGATGCTGTCGTAGAACCTTTTTCATCTCGTGCCATAAAGTTTCAATAGGTGACAGATCTGGACTGCTAGAAACCCATTTCAAAAGTGGTAATTATTTTCTTCCATCCATTTTATAGCCTTTTTTGAGGTATGGCACGCTGCAACATCTTGCTGAAACACAAAATCTTGGCCGGATGTCAAACATTCTTTCATCACTGGTAAAAGCGATTCTTCTAAAATTGCCAAATAATAATAAAATGAAGTTTTCCTACTCCTTTTGATGACATACTGCCCCAGACCATAATGGATGCTGGAAATTTCACTTTTCGCTTCAGACAGTCAACATGGTCAACACAAACTTCGAATCCGGCCTTATCACACCATTGTATTGCACACCACTGTTAAGGTGTCCATTGTCTATGTTCTTTAGCCCATCTAAGCCGATGTTTCTTTTGCAGTGGAGATAGTAGTGGCTTTTCTTTGGCCTATAAACAAGTTGGGCAACTTTAGGGTTTTTACTTCACTTTTTTTTTATAAAAAAACTTATCTTGCAAGTGCTAAATCCCAGTTTGTGGGCCTCTCTATGAGTTGTGGACCTCGAAATTCTCCTTCCAACAGCGTCACTCCAGAGCACTTAATTGTAAATAATTGACACGCCTGTGTTTCACGATTATTCTTCTTAATGCTCTTCGGTCGGCATTTGTGATATTACTTGTTTTCACATATCGTGGCTTAACATTAACTGAACCAGTTACGTTAAATCTTCTAACAATATTTCTCACACTGTCCGCGATAAATCTAACAAAGTTGCAATTTCAGAGTTTGATTTCCCAGAATTAAAAAAATTAATTATCAGTAACCGAATTTTCTCACTAATAACCTTTACTGTACCCATTTTGAAAACCTTAAGTACCCAAAACTATTTTAAACGTATTCTGAAAGCTGCGATTGATAAAAGCAATTGTCATGGCATTTATTTTTCACAGCCACCTATGCGTTATAGACTTATTTTGCATTGAAATGAAAATAGGTTGATATGCTGTAATTGCAACATGTGTTATTTTTATGCTGCAAATTTGATCAGGGAGTGATAAAGTTGGTGTTTTCTACTATATATTATCAAAATATTCATTGTTAATATTTTAAACCTATAACGCCCTGCTACATTTTTATTATTTGTGCTTGATAAGAAAAAAACTAAGATTTCAATAGTTGGGCCAACTGAAGTGGGAAGGGGCTCGTATGTACGGACTACAATATTTTAACATTAAGGGCGAAATATCATCTATCACGGTTGCAATACCTTTTATGTTGTTTAAGATTTTGTTTATATTTGTTATTTCTGCTAATTTGAAGTTGAAGGTTAAGTTATTTTTAAAGCCATTGTTTTTACAAAAATTTAATTTTTTCCGAATAGTTAGATTTATTTTGTAGAAAAGCAGCAAAAAAGCTATTAATATCATTAAGCTCTGATAAAGACTGGGAAATTTCCCGTAATGGTCGATAATGTTTTTGTTCTCATCTTCATGAGTGTAGACCAAAGTGAGTATACATTCCTTGACCAGTTTATTATGCGCACTATAAGATGTTTGTAATTGTATATTAGAATGGTGTCTGAATGTAGAACCATTTATTTTTATGCACGGTATGTTGAAACTTATTTATAATATTGCCGTGCTGGAACGGCCCAGTAATTGCCCCGATATGAACCCGATAGAAATGTATGGGAGCTGATAAAGTGAGAGGTGGCAAAATAAATTATGGCAAATTAGACTTAATTGTTTGAAAAAATTATAAATGTGTGGAATCATGATTTTCAAATGCAAGATATAGTGCAGCCTTGCATTATAAGGATGCCGCGCAAAATTTAAGCACTGATAGCGACAAAAGTTGACTAAAAAATATTAATATCTCATACTAACAATCTCACTGTTCTGTAAAATTTAATTAATCTACTTTTTACATAGAATCTATACTGCGTCTAATAATATGGCCAGGGTCTGTGTGTTACCTCATTTTTGCAAATTATCTGCATTCTTGCATATACTGGCAACAATGCACACTTGGAGTTGTGTACGTCGCGGAACACCTGCTCATCTTCTTGGGCCGGTTCGCACACCTGGCCACCGCTAAAGCCGAAGCCAAAGCCACCAGATCGCCGGATGCCATGCCTTACCGTTTCACCTCACCTCTGACTGAGGATGATGCTGCTGCACGTTTATCCAACACTCTATTTTTATCCAACACGTAATCTTCATATTACTTGTTTCATCTTTGATTTTATCAGGAGGATAATAGGATAATTATGATAGGCGCCGCAGGTCTCTAACTGTCGGTCACAAAATTAATTAATTACTGTTGTTGGTTCTAAGCAAAAGGAAGTTTTCTAGACGCCGTTTTCTGATTCGAGTTCAACAGAAAATTGCTAAACGTCCCTAGCGTGGAGGCAATGTTGTTCAAGAAAACTAATTTTCTAAGTTAACTCACGTAGGGGAAGGTGGCCCAAAATGATCCCCCTAAGGTGGAGAGGCGCCAAAAAAGCTACGTATACAAAAGAAAAAAATCTAGTATATTTTTTTGGAATGTCAGTCTACTGTCCTTAAATATGTGTCCTTATCGATTTTCTGGTTTAACAGCTAATTAATTTTTTGGGAGATGTAATGCAGGTGTTTGTAAAAGGATCATTTTACCCTGATGGGGTGGGCATAATGATCCCCTAAGATAGTTTTTAAGAGTTAACTAAATAAAACACGAATTAACGACAACCTAAATTACTTTATTGAGCAAAACCAAATGGCATTTAGTAAAAATAAACTTAAATCGATGTGTAATAAGTTAAAAAATATAAAAAAAGCGGAAATACAAAAAATCGTATTCAAAACGAAAAATAAGTTTACATTACAAGTCATCTACTAACTGTTTACGCACTTTCTTCACCTTTGCATTATAAATACAATAGTCACAGCAATATGGATCGCAGTCATCATCGTCAATTCCTGCACACTCACCATGCGCCCAACGATAGCACATTGAGCACTGCACCCATCCTTCTTCTGAATTAGACTGTAGAAATGTTTCCGTACAAATAAGACATTCTGTATCTTCTTCTTCTTCGGATTCCTCTGAAGACTCTTTGTAATTTTTGTCCTGTTTAATTTTCTTATTATGCTTATATTTTCTTACACTTTACCTTTTATTTTTTTTTAGAACCTTTTTTCTGCTAATTTATTCTAAATCGTTTTTTTCGGCCTGCTTTTCCTTCTTCTGCTGTTCTTCTAACAATTGATTTTTATACGGACTACTTGTCAAAACTACTGTGCCTCCAGACTTCCTTGATTTTGAGCTACGTTTTTCTTGTGCCATTATAGGGAGTGGATGAACATCACTTGGAAGAATGTTAAAACCACTTTTTGATGTCGAGTGTTCATCAACCAAACCTAAGTAGGACTGCGGAACATTTATTGTTGGTAAAGCGTCATTTTGCTCGTTGTTTTCAATACTTTTTTCATTGACCTCATCATTTTCTTCATGGGCCCCATTATTTTCATCTATGACTTCTTCGATTTGTTCGTGGCCGTCACCATTTTCCTCGTGCACACCATGATTCTGAGGTTCGTTTTGCTCGGTCACTTCAGCAGCTACGAAATCAATGTCTGTGAAGACATCGGGATCGTACGGAAAAATTCCAGTCTTCTTAAATCCGTTAATTGCGTTAAGTGGTGTGCTGGCCTGGATGTAAGATTCATTGAAGATTTGTGAAATTTGGAAAACGGTTACAACTCTTCCAGGGTGATTGGTAAGCCACTTCTCCAATGCTTTGTCGTGGTAATGATTAAGCGAGTACATAAAACTCACGTCTAGTGGTTGAAGTTTATGAGTGGTGTGTGGCGGTAAGCATAAAATGGTCACGAAATTATTTCGTGCCTTTTAAATTACACTTTAGTTTTTTGTGTGCAAAAGGTGGCCATCAAGAATGAGAAGTGCAGGATCTTTTTGGGAAGGCTTAACAAAGGCAAGAAAATGATCAAACCACACCGAAAATACCAAAAGTTTCATTCAACCAGATTCGTTGCAATAGAATGCTGTCCCTGGTCGTGCGCCATCTTTTAACTCTTCTTTTATTCGCTTAACGAGCAAAAATAATCATAGGAGGCACATATGAACCAGATGCAGACATACAAATCACGGCACTAGTGGACGTAACACGTTCTGTAGATACGACTCTGCCAACTTGTTTTCTACCTCTTTGAACTAGAATTTTACAATTTTTACCTTGGACGGTACTCAAAGAGTTTTCGTCGACGTTATATATCCTATGTGCTTGAAACTGTATTTTGCCATACACAGATACTACCAACATGAAAAATTTGGTTACGACAGGCCGGTTAAAACACGAGCATGAACGGCTGACGTTGACTCCGGTGATCTTAGTGAGATCTGAAGGTGCCTCTTGCGAAAACCGATCAACCAATCTTTGCCAGCTAGACATGATGCCTTGGAAAACGGATGGACAATATTATTTTTCTCTGCTAGCTGATAAGCGATCGATCTCACATCTTTAGTGGTGAGACCGTACATTCTGCTTTCCATATTAAGTATATGAGCTACCATATCTTGGATAATGTGGAGGTTATCAATGAAAAAAAGATGAAATCTCGGGGGAATTTTCAATAGTTGATAGTTTCAAAATCTCCAAATTTCTTCCAAAATCAATCAAAGCCAAATTTTAATTAAAACCTTTCAAAATGATTTGCCATTTAACAATAAAATAATTCCGTCCTAATCGAACCTCATCGGTCCAGTTTTTTATTCGTCGACTATGTGTTTGTTCCCTTCACTGTTGTTTAAAAAACAATTTCAGCAACAATCTCGCCGACTTACTCCAGACGATGAAGAAAAAATTCTTCGAAAGCTTGAGATTTTAAGTTATAAGAGTGTACTTTTGCAATACTTTGCCCTCTACCCAAAGGAATTAAAGGTTATCTTCTCCTAGCAGTTAAGGCAACTAACTATGAATTTTTCACCTATATATATATATATCTTTCTTCAACGAAAACGTTTTTAAAAAAGATTTATTTTTGATAATAACCAAATACCATGATGTTAATTGAATGAGTTCTGAATCGAGACTGACTGCAAAGTTCATTATACAAACCAAAGTAAAGAACAAATGAAATACAATACTGAAACTGATAAGAGAGGAACGTGGAGGCCAAAGTTCTTGTTCAGCATATTCTTCTCTGTAGACTGGTACATAACCCCCTTGAAATGGATCCACACCGCTGCGAACGAAATTAGGGCTGACACGGATATGATTCGCCGCTCAACACGACACATTGTTTTAAGAACAACTATGTGCATAACCAATAAAGGAGATCATTTTGAACAGCTTCTGTAACATTAAACATGTCCAAACTCTCTATAAGAAACATTGATTTGTCATTTTTATGTATAAAAGGTTTGAAAACAATTTGCATTTTATTACACTCATTTCGACCCATGTTAGATAGCATTTATTGTTTAACGTTTAACGTGTTAACAAAAAGCTGTAGAAATAGTACATCATTCTGTGACAATTACGTACTTAGTTATTACAATTTCCATACATGCAGTACCGTAATCGTAACGTAAAAATAGAAATGGCTGCCATTTCAAGCGGGATGAGGTAGGACATTGTAGGGGGGTGGATTTGTCAATAAAAATAGCTGAAAAATACCCCTCTTAAATATCGGTATGTCGTGACTAAACACATTGTATATATAAATTTAAAAACATGTACTGATTAAAAAGTGCCAGTGAAAAAGTTCTATTAGTTTTTTGATATTTCTTAAAATAAAATCAAAGAAGAATAAAAACCATGTAGATCAATTTTTGTTTTTTCCCAAATAACTCAGTGCGCCATGAAATTTTTACAAGTTTCTCAACGGCATTTAAATACGGAGCTTTTTCCTAATTTGACCTAAGCTGGATCTCCTACAAGTATTGATCCCCAATGCATAGAATCCTTATCTTTGACACCTCATATATACTTCGAAGTTGAGTCATTTATTTTTAACAGTGAGTAGATCTGATCAAAAGAAATGTTTTTTCCTTTACCATTTTTCTGGTAAAATTAAAGTAACAAAGTTATAGCCCTTTGGAAGTTTGAGTACCACCCTGTCTCGATAATAATATTATGTGCTCGTGTCTGGCAACAACGGATATAATCCGCCTTATCGGTTCATCGCATCGGAAACAAAAAAGCGAAAGAATTTGGAACGATGTTTTTACAATTATTTTATTCAGTTCAGTTGTATACAGTCAGTGTCAGTCGGTAACGCGTGAGTGAATGGTGTCTGTTGCGTGGCTCAAACGAAATAAAAAATGGCACATGTTTATGCGGATCGGTTTCCCAATCGAGTGCAACCAACCCTTCGTGCCTTTGTTAATGTAGTACAACGGGCTTGTGAATCAGGTGACTTAAGACGTCACAGGGGACAGCATGGCGGTGCTCCAAGACCTCACGATCAAATACAGGTCCGCACTGAAATACTTGTCGGGAGGATACTTTATAAAACAAGGTAATTTTTATTTTTTTTTTATTTTTACACACATATTTTGGTTTATCTTCCTTCTACAATCATTATCTGAAAATTAATGACTCAACTTCAAAGTCACTCTGTATAGAACCGTAAGAAAAAATCAAAAGTGAAAAGGTATTTCAAAAAAATTCCAGCGAAGGGTTCGGAACTTTTCGGCAAGCTGAATTATCCATTTACTGGGCTACTTGTATTTCGTGAAGTACTGCTGTAGTAACTCCACTAGCAAATTATGAATCGCTTCGCAGCATAAATTTGTGTGCGTTTTTCTTACTTTTTGTGAGGGAAACATTATGAAAACTATGCTTCTACAAGATTCCAGAACATACACCTTGCAGTCCTAACGAAATCTTTCGAGATTATGTGATGATGGCTGAAGACTAAGTTTGGAAATTAGTCAATGCACAGCGTCACATAAGATACACGTTTAACAACTAAAACATCATCTAGTTGTTTAACCTAAACTAGACAGTTGATGGCTGAGCTTACATAACAAGCGATTATTCGGTAAAAGATGATACAAAGGACTAACAAAAGAAGGCACTTTGTATGCTATTATAGGTATACAAACTTTACAAGCCATAACTAAGAATATAATCGTTTACC